TAGAGTAATTATTTATCTATTAGCTATTATTGACGTCATCGATGTTTTTTTATAGAATAATTTTTATAACTAAATATTTTCATTTGGTTTATCTAATTGAATTCAAACCTCTTTACACTATTACTTCTAAACTAATAATCAATCAGAAAATACAATCTGATTTGTTTTTTTTCTCGTACTCAGATATCTACTAAGAATATATTTCTCCATTTAGTGATCAAATTTTAGTTTTTTTACTATTATTTACACTATTGGGAATAAACAATAAGTTTATCTAGTAATGATATATTTTCTACTACGATGATCCAATTTATGAATAGTATGCGCTTTCTATTTGATGACATATATATATATATATATATGTTGACAAAGTATATTTACTTTATATGACAACGGAAGAATTAACACAAAGTATTTTTACTCATAGTTGTTCTATTTCCTTTTCTTTCTTATCCTATGAAGTACTTGAGAAGAAAAATCTATTTGAACATTCATTCACAAGAATCTTTTCATAGTTATTAAATGAGTTCGAATTGAAGATACAAACATTACAAGTTTATTATTGATAATGACTCTAGTTCATATGTTTAATTATCCTCTTGTTAACCGAAGTCGTTTCTCTCATTGTCGGTGTCCTTGAATGCAATACTAAAGGATATTCATTCTTTTTTTTTTCATTGCATTATTGATCAAACTGAATTCTATGGTTTGATTAAAACAAAAAAAACTAAGTTTTATTCTATATATTATAGAAGATTCATTACCAACAACAAATCGTCGACATATTAGTGGAACAGTTAATAGTCATCGATCTGTACCGCCTTTAACAAGTAGTACACCACCACGACGATTATCAAATACTGAACAGCAAATTCTAACAGCAACACATCGATTAAATCTTGGCAAACAAATAAAAATGATAGATAATGATAGTATTGATATCGAAAGTCCAACTAAAATGTAAATACATAGTTGAAATTAAATAAGATTATTTAAAAATTTCTTTTTAAGATCTTCAATAAATGAAAATATGTATTCAACTTCATCACCTTTGTCTATTTTAACATCACCCTATAATAAAACGGAAGAATCAGCTGTAGATGAATCTAGAGTAAATAAATAAAATAATGAATATATATACATGTATTTAATTTATTTCCTGTAGACTCGAACAATACCAGTTATTCATGAATACCGATCACCAAGGACACCTGTATGTACGATTGAATCAAGAAGTACAAGTCGACATCAACAATCACGTATGTATCGTTTGTTAAACTGAAAATTTTAAGAAAAGATTTTGTACAGTAAATCGATATTGCAAAGATTTCTTAGGTTACACTCCGTTCAATTAGCTTTTCGATCTAATGAAAAATAATTTTATGTCACCTTGTTTATTTAGCATCGAGATCAATCCCTTCAACATCGTATCGAGCAAGTCCTCCAATGGCGGGCATTCCGGTAATATTTTGTTTTTCTATTACATGGCTAGTGTTTAACAACAAATTTCAATTATTTAGCGATTAATTGGTAGTGTTCATCCTTCATCATTATCAACAACAACTCTGCCAACATCTGTTTCATCAACAATGATAATACCATCTATTCATGATCGATCATTTTTTATATGTAAAGAACTGTTAATGACTGAACGAACATATAAAAAAGATATTGAAGTTGTTGCTGAACATTTTCGTCGAGAATTAATGCTTGCTATTAATCATTATCAAGATTCTTATATGACTGATGAATATAATTTTGAAAATGAAACATTAATACATTTATCTGATGTTTTATTTACACATCTATTACCTATTTATACTTTTCATGCACATTTTCTTCGACAACTTGAACAACGAATATCAATATGGTAAGCAAACAGAAAAAGGATTTCAACTCTACTTTATTTATTTTAGGGAAACACGTTCTATACCGGGTAATGAATGTCTTCCGATTGATAAAATGGCTCAACAAATTGGAGATTTAATGATGAATTTAATTGAAATATTACCCGTAAATAAACAGGAATATATTTTTTATTCATAACTACTTTTATATTTATTTATACAGAGATATGAACGTTATATAGAAAATTATGATCGTTTATTAACTGAACTTGAATATATCCTCAAACATAATCGACGTTTTGAAATAATTTATAAAGAATTCGAATCTGAAAAATTTTGTTATTTATCATTCATATCATTTTTAATTAAACCATTACAAAGACTTCTACATTATGAATATTTATTTGAAAGTATGATATTTTTTTTTCGAAATAAATTTTTTCTATTTCATTTATTTATTTTAGAACTACTTATTTATTATAAAAATAATGATTATGAAATTGAATATCAAGATTGTTATGGAATATTTATTAAAATTCAAGATTTAATTGAAAATTTTGCTGAATCATTAACATTATTGGTATATAAACTTGTTTTATTTAAAGTAGAAATCGAAAGCATTATATAGAAAAAATTCGATACTTTACTAATCGGAATAATATATGCAATCCAAATAAAAGATGTCTATACAGGCATTTGGGAGAATTGAATTTTTCAATGACTCTGTATGCGATAAGATAAAGAGTTATCCTTAGGAATCGAAAACTAGAGTAATTAAAATGGTGGGTTTTTTTTCTATCATTATATTCATTTCTTTTTCCTTGACGTGGACCAATGTTATTTACTTTTATTCAATTAAAATAAATGACAGGAAGCAGACTCGTTGCAATAGGGGAACGTATGAGGAATTGTCAAGGTCAATGGATAGTTAATATTCATGATTGTCAATTGTTTTGAAGAGTGTGAAGTGGTAAAATCTGACAGAAAGTAATTCAGTAAAAAAGAATGTTGTATTTTCAAAGAGTTAATTTATGCTCGTCTTGTTATATATTCCATTGGGAATAAGATGTGTAACGAAATTTATTTTTATTTTCTAGCTAAATCGGCAAAAATTAATTGAACTCCAACGTGATCTGATTGGTGTGGATAATCTCTCGAGTCAATATGATCGCGTAAGTGAATTTGTAACTGCCTGAAAATATTTCTAAATTCAATTTTTTCGTTTGTTTAGCAATTCATACGTGAAGGTTGCCTTCAAAAATTATCACGAAAAGGCTATCAACAACGAATGTTTTTCTTAGTAAATTTATTCATTTTTTTGTTATAAAACTATTTCGAATTTTCATCTAGTTCTCCGATGTACTACTTTATTGTGCTCGTAGTTCGAGTCCTGTACTTCAATTTAAACTTCATGGTGAACTATCATTAAGAACAATGACAGTTAGTATTGATTATTTATAGTCATATTAATACAATAATTTCTCTATATTTGTTTTTAGGTTGAAGATAGTGATGAACATGTTAATATTCCTAATTCTATTACTATCTATACTGGCAATCGATCATTACTCGTAGTAGCAAGGTATATATACTTTTGATATTTTATGAAAGAAAATAATGATAATCAGTCGAGGTTTTGCGGCTTCCTCCCTTATTACAGACCTTAACAGCTGGAGCCAAAGGTCATTGGGTACAAATCAAGGCAGCCACTCATTCCGATGGTTTGGAATGTAAAGAAAGAACCGCAAATAGCTCAGACTATTCTAAAACTACTGGATAAAATCAAGAATAATCTTTCAATACCAAGAGATACGTTTTCTGTCAGAAATAAAGGAGGACCAAGGACTTAAAGGTAGTGGCGTAATCGAAAATTTAAGGATGATGAGGCTTAACCCCAAAACTGTCTAGTCTCTTGGATTTTTTGATTGACAAGTTCAGTAACCAAAAAATCTGGGTGATGGTGTTAAGCCCTACCTGGCCCCAGTGTAGTTACGCTACTACTTAAAGATCATCTGATGTCTTTGATACGAATATACATGAATTTTATATTTTTAATATTACTGTTTGAAATATCTACAGAAGATATTCTTGATTTTATTTTAGTTCATCAACTGAAAAGAAAAAATGGCTACATGATTTAAAATATGCTATAGAAAATCTGAAAATGAATTCTGATGATCAAAAACATCAATATTCAGCTACATTGAAATCCAATGGTAAGAAAAGAATGAAACAAATGTGTTTCTATTCAAATTTTTTATTTAGCATCATCAGAAAATCTTGAACATTCAGTTGTTGGAACACTTGATGATGATAATATAAGTCAAATTGATCGTTCATGTGTACAACATCGTGCTAATACAACTATGCATGTATGTTGGCATCGAAATTTATCTGTATCAATACATGATCATCGGCAAACAATTAAAAATCAATTAAGCGGTTATTTACTACGGAAATTTAAAAATTCAAATGGTTGGCAAAAATTATGGGTTATTTTTACAAATTTTAGTTTATTCTTTTATAAAACTTATCAAGTTAGTTATTTGATTTTTTTTGTCTATAAAAATAAATATTTTATTTTTGTATTTATTCAGGATGATTACCCATTGGCGTCATTACCTTTATTAGGATATCGTAGTTCATTACCATCAGAATTCGATGGTGTTAATAAAGATTTTGTATTTAAACTTCAATTTAAAAATCATGTTTATTTTTTTCGAGCTGAAAGTCAATATGCTTTTGATCGGTAAATAATAAAAAAATATTTTAATTTTCCTATTTAATTTCTTTCGTTTTCAATTAGATGGATCGAAGTTGTCTCAAGTGCAACAACAACAACTAGTCAATAAAAATCTTCTGATAAAAATTTCATCTATTGTTTTTCTTTTTTTTTATATGACATCAAAGGGAGTTATTTTAGTGTTCTGTTTCTGTTCTTTTGTAGAAACACTCATAAATGTGATGATCACTCGAATATTATTCATCTCATTTTTCTTTTTGTACAAAAAACAAAAACTTATTGTTGTTGATGTATTGTTTGAATGCTATTAGATAAATAAAATTTATATTTCTTTTCTCGTGCAATTACGATCATGAAAAAAAGAAAAGATGATTTCAAAAATATAAAATATATTTTTATTGTTGAGTTCTCTAAACAATCATAGGCTCAAATATTGGAGTATTATTAACAACACGTTGAAAACCAAAACGTGTTAAATCAATTGATTGATATTTAAGATCAACTAAATATTCAGATAGAGCTCGACCGATAGCAGGTCCATGTTGTAAACCGTGTCCACTTGAACCATTAGCAAAAAAGAAATTCTTTTGTTGAGGATGTGGACCAATGATAAGACTTGAAAAATATTAAAATGAATATTTCAAATATTTCAAAAAAATAATATATTACTTTTGATCAAAATAATTATAATCATAAAAACCACACCAAGCACTTTTGAGCTAAAAGTATTCAAACAAATAATTATGAAAGAAATACGCCTTGTAGATAAAAAAAGCAGTATCAACTTCACGTTAAGAATATCTTTATACGATACTTAAAATAGCTTTTAGTTTTTATCAAAAGATCTAATATTTTGATTATAGTCTTTAACGCAAAAATTTTAATACGTATTTGTATATATGTCCTATCATGATGTAAATCTTTTACTCGTATCTAAAAGTCAATGAATAAAATTTATTATACCTTTAAAGTTTCAAAACTTGGTATACGACTAGCCAATACTGGCCATATTTGTTCTTCAAATACGGAATAATCTACTTCGAGATTATTTTCAGATTTGTCATTATCCTAAAAAATAAAAAATTAAACGGAATCTGAATATAATGAATATTTTCTTTTATTTACTTCATTCGGGCTACATCCACATATATATGTATTATTTAAACCTTCTGGTCGAAAATAAACACCGGATACATCGACAAATAATGGAGCTAATGGACCAGGTCCATTCAACGATTCAAAAACAAATATGTAACGTTTTCTAAAAAAAAATATAAATGATTGAATTATATTAAATTCTATCACTCATCAATATAGTCATGTTTTTGAGTAATAGGAAATATATTGTGATTAATATTTGATTTGATATATAAAATTCATTGTATTTCTATTCGTATGAATAAAGCATTGAAGATATACATTAGATATATAGTAAACAAATGATAACATTAGTAAGACACCGAAAAAGGACAAATCAATCAGTTTCATCGTCTTTTTTCTTAGTACACAGAACAGAATAGTGTGGTATAGTCAGGAAAATGATGTTACGCTTCAACGGTTCTACTTTTGCTTGTTACATACAATTTTTTTTGTACTTTTTTTTTCATCAATCGTAGTCCTTCTGTTTATTGAGAGAAAGAAAAAAAAATTTTCTCTTCAGGGTCATTTGGCGTCCTAATCGGTCTTAAATCTGAATGTGTTGCTATTAATGGATACTGACGGTTTCCCTTTAGCAGCAATAAGTGAGAGAAGTACTGAAAATGATACAATGACATCAATTAATTCAATTAAACGAGCTCCACTTCGTCCAATTGATTCAATTGGTGGTATAGAAAATGGAAGTATTTCAAGTCGAAAATTTGATCAACCAGCAATTTTAGAAACAAATACTCGTTCAGGACAATTAAACGAACGAATTTCAACAAATACGGGTCGTTCAGGACAATTAAATGAACGAATTTCATCAAATACGGATCGTTCAAGAAAATATAATCAATTTGAAGTAACAAGTATTCAAGATGAAGATGACGAACGAGATAATAAATATATATCAGAACGACCAAGTCAATTAACAGTTGGTGGTGAGAGTACAATGGTTTCATCGTATACAACAGGTGGAGAAAATGATATTATCGAAATTCATCAATTCAGTTTAGCTGATATTGATGCTTATCTAGATATTTATTTTGAAACACTTCATAGTCGTTTAAGACATTATATTGGACAAGATGATCAAATACAACAATTTCGAATAGCAATGAAAAATCGAATAAGTAAAAGATATACGAAAAACTTGATTTTTTTCGATTTCGATTTCTATTATTAGATACAAATCCAAATGCACGTGAATTTCAAAATGTTCTTCTTGGAAAAATGAATGGTGAAGTTTTAGCTGCAATAACAATGGCATTTCCTGATGAAACACCAACTATATCACAAGCATCACAAATTCTACAACAGAATTCATGTTTATCATCAATACGTAGATGGTTTATACAAAAAGCAAATTATATTCCAACACATATGGAAGAATGTTATATTGAAATGATCGGTGTTAAAAGTGGCTATAGAAATAATGGTATTGGTACAGCTATGCTTGAATGTGTAGAACAATTTGCTCGACAAGCTGGTGCTAGTCGTTTAACAGTACATACAAATGGACCACAATCACGACATTATTTTGAACGTTATGGTTTTACTCTTGATAATTCAGATAGTTCAGCTTTTTGGAAATGGGTAATTGAACGACAAAGTATCGATAAATTAACCAGAAATCTGGCATCTGTTGAAGATAACGACTATGCTGCAAATAGTTATATTAATGAGAGTATGACTGAAAGTGTTGAGCGATCGTAGAATTATTATTCTCAGAAAAAATTTAATAAAAATGTATATAAAAAAAAAAGATAAATGTAAAATTTTTACCTTGGTTCAACAGGTAATGCAACTGGATATTCACCGGCAACACCGATACCAGCCATTTTAGCTACTTCACCAGCCCAAGGACCAGCAGCATTGATAAAGAATGATGAATCCATTGGATATATTCTATTATCATCTGCAGAAAGAATCTAAATAAATTTTGATCAATTAGGAAGTGATGTCATAGTTTACAAAATGAAAGAACGATTCTACGAATAGAAACACTATTGTCTATAGAAACTGATTAATCTTTGATCTGATAAATTATGATTTATTTTAAACGGAAGTTGCTTATCAATCTATCTATCGATAAAGACAGGTTTGTACCTAAGTATCTATGAGAGAAAAATGACCATGTACACATATATATTTATAAAGTTAAATGCGTATTTCTTTTCTTGTTCTGCTTTGCAATACATACATAAGTGATTAAATCTTATTGGTAAAAAATTTGATACATATTCACAATATAAAAGCATCGTTATGATTACATTACATTAGAAAGGAATCTTTTAAAAAATCATGCATATTTTTTTTTATCTAGGCCAAAATTATTCATATGATTTCGATAATGATGATATTTTTCGTTTTTCATGACTTGGTAAAATCATTAAGTATAGAAATAGATAAATAATATATTTGCCCTCTTTTCTTTTTCTTTTTAATTTTGAATGACACGAGTTTAAAATAGCAAAACTTATTTTGAAGATATTATCATAAACGAAAGAATTGTAAATTGAACTATTATTTCAAACGTATTTAGTCAAGATTTTTAACTCAATAATAGGAGAAATGATTAAGAAACGGCTTTAATAACATGGTCCCTATTTCGTATACCGTTAACAGATAATCTATAATGTAACCCCGTCAATTATCTATGGTTTCCTATATTATTGATATAGAATTAACTTACTAAAGCTTTATCCAATTGATTTTCTATTGTTCCATCAGCCCATACTCTTTTTGATTTATCAAAACCAACAAGTTCCGCTATGAATTTAAAGAAAAAACATATATAATCAAATAATTGATTTATACAAGCAAACCATTAAGATACAGAACACCAAGTGATAATGCTTTTTGTCGGAAAGCATTTAACAAAGCCCATGGATCTAACCAACCTTCATTTTGAATACCTAAAAAAAATCCAACAAATGTAAATTCATTGAAATATTATCGAATTCTTACCATAACAGCCAATTGCAATACCATCTGTATTCAACCAAGGGAATTTTTCTTTAAGCATACTTGCTGTCAATAATTTTGATTTTGCTCCCAATGAACTAAACTATATCAATATAAGAAAAAAAATCAAAATCAAATAAAAAATATTTATACGTTTGAGTTTTATGATTTTCTTCGAAAAGTTTCACACTTTGTTCGCTACCACATAATAAATAACCATTATGCTGAAATGAAATGGGTACAGGATCTTCATCTGAAAGAATGATAATTATTACAAAAAAAAAGACTGAAAAAAACTAATATAATTTACCAAGTATTGATAAATGATCACGAATATGTTTTAAAAATTCAGCACCATAAACGGACATTTGAATATTTTCTTCCTAAACATAAATTCTTTTTCTAAATTATTCCATATAAAACGAATATTTACAAGTGCAAATTGTTGACGTAAACCACCGGCAGAAAGAACTGTACTTGATGTTGTATACTAAAATATGACTATAGAATTCAAGAAATAATTTTTAATATTTCTCTCACATTCCAATCACGTTCGAGAACAGTTACTTTCATATCAGGTGAACGTTGTTTAAGAAAATAAGCTATACTTGAACCCATAATAGCACCCTATATTTAGAGAATTATTTTAAAAAGAAGCAACTATTACAAAATACATACACCAATAATAAGAACATCAGTTTCTATTGGAATGTTTTTAACACCTAAAAAATACGAAATTTCTTAGAAAGAAAAGCCTTTGAATAAATTGAAAGTTACGTTTGCAGATATATTTATATTCAGTATTTTATCTAGGTTTTCCTTTCGAGAGTGCGATAGCGATTTCCGGGAGGGCGAAAACATAACTTCTGGAGGTAAAATACATAGTATAAGCATAAAAACTGCAATTTTCTGGAGGACACAATCGGTTTCCGGGAGGGCGCCGCCATCATTACCCTTCCTCTAGATAAATCAGTGCTTATATCTTGTTTTCCGCTCGATTTGTTAGAAATGAAATCTTAATTTATTTTCAATTTCTGTATATAGATACTCGTCTATCTTAGCAACAGTTATCAATACTTCGATTGATACTATCAAACGTATATATTGTACTACAATGTATAAAGTTTCGCCCACTTCGCATTTAGACCCTCGTCCAGACTATGTAATTATTTTTAATAAATTTTCCAGGGTCTAATTACGTCAACATGTCATAAAGATCGATAAACGTATTTATTTCATAACAAACGTATTTTGTCTGTCAACTATAGAATTTTTCATAGTGCCTTATTTTTTTCTTCATTATAATAAATTAGGTGATGAAATGATAATATACAAAAATACGTCTATTTAGTTATAATGGAGAAATACTATAATTGTTTGTACTAATAATAACACTCACGATTTTCTGTTAATCGATGACGGATTAGATCCATTTCATTTTTAATAGGTGTATCATCAATTCGTTTGATTTCATGTACTGTTTTTGGATTAATTAATGTAAATGCACGTTTTACTGTAGAGATTTCAGATGATTTTTCTGTTGTTAAGTCTTTATTTGAATCCGTTGTTGTTGTTGTTGTTATTGAAGAATCTTTCGATGCATAGCGTCGTATAAATAATTGATGAACGAAACGCCTAGTTAATCTTAACGTCATCTCAATCTACAATAAGAAATGGAAACGAATATCATTCTACCATGATTATATTCTCTATTCATTCTTATTATAATACATTCAAAGAAAGAAAAAAAAACATTTTACCAGATAAATAAAATTTTACAAGCAAAAGATTAAACAAGAACGAAGAAACAGCTAGGAATAAGTATGTTATAAAGAGCTGGAACAATAATAATTATTATTATTATATTAGAAAAAAAAGAAAGATAGCAGATGTATTGAGATTGATAAACAAGCACCGACTAAGAGAGAGAGAGAGACAGACAAAACAAAAGAATATTATGAACTAATATTCTTTTTTCTAAAACGTATATTTTGAAATGGTTTAAAAAGTTTTGAAGATATCATTGGTTTTCGTATTTTCTCAGGAGATGATGATGAAAGACCCTCATCATTTGATGAATCTACATTCAGAGAATTTTTATCATATTGTTGTTGTAATTGTTGATCATCGGATAAAGAATCATTATTATCGGTATGAACATCAGATACACCTTCAAATAATGATTTGGGCTGTTTTGATAATGACGAATTATCAATTATTTCATAAGTACTTTGTCTATCGATTGATGGAGGAGTTATATGAGAATTAAGAAGACCATTAGTCGAATAAGAATATGACATTGGTGGATGATTCGAAAGACGTTCATTTGACGAACGATTATTATTCATAATTGCACGTCGTTTTAACGTTGCTGATGGTGAATTTGTTTGTTCAATACCACTGTCAGATTGACTTATTGTATCTGGCTGTGATATTTGAGTTGGAAGCAATGAATTTACCGATACTCCACGAGCAGTTAAAGTACTAAAAGAAATTCAAA